ACAAAAAAAAAAGTTTGGCGCTATGACTAAAAAAGGCCCTAAATTCCAAGTTCTTCTCGTTAAAAGCGAATTTGCTGTGAATTTAGAAGAGCTAATAAAATGCGCCTCGAGCAAAGTTTGTAGAGGGGTGAACAAGATACTAATTACTAAAAAGGAATCTTTCCAATGAGCTTTCCATCTCTCAATAATTGTGTTTTATCGTTGTGACGCTGTGACATACTTTTTTCCCAACAAAGTTTGGAGCACTAAACATTGCTCAAAGGATTTCATTTTCACATCGGACTTAGTTTTAGGCATCTAATATAGACTAACGTGAAAATAAAGCTGAAAAAATGTTTCACTTTCTTAGAATTGTGTGAGAATCTTAAAACTTAAAACTTTATTAAAAAGCTTGTTTTAAGTCTAAACTTCAAAAGAAACACACCATCTGATAGCCCGGTTTATATTGATAACTAAGTCCAAGTATGTTTCGTAGTAGTTTATTTCGAAAAATGAATTGTTAACTCCCACGGAATCGAGGGCTTATTTGGTGCAGCTGTGGCGTAACTATTTGCAATAAGTAATGTCATAATATTCACGTAACTATCACACAAGAACAAGTAATTACGCAATAACAAATAACAACTGATTATGCAATAACAACTGCAGTCTTACATGATGTCTGAGGACAGTAACTCATGTAACACCATCTTGTAGAGAATCGAATTCTCTATCGATTAGTGTGGCCTTTAATTTTTACTAGGAAAAGTGTCTAGGTGAGAAAATTGAAACGACAGTTTTCGAAAAATGTCATCTTATCCTGACACAAAATTGTCCTGCTTTTGCTTATTATAAAACTGTATTTTAATTATTTCCAATATAGGCAGTACTTATTTTACATAAATACCCTTGACGTGTCATGAAATCAAATGATAATAAATTCACGCGGAAAATTAGTTTCATAGTATTCAAACTTTATTACTGAATATTGTTCTACACGAAGACAGACGTGATAAATAATTTCTAATTATTCGTAAAACTAACAAAAATCTTACAAATTTTGTCTAGTTTTGATTTACTTGTCTATTATCAGTGCAAGAAGTTGCGGGTTAGTAGACTAAAAAGGCTAGTTGCTATTGTTACTAATTGTCTTTTAACACAGTCATCAAAGAAAGCTGATATTATCATATCTTTTAGTATAGATTCCGGAACAGGCTACTTTCTGTGCAAGAAGCAGCCTAAAAATAGGCGTACAAAATTCAGCCAAAATATCTTATTTATACATAAAAAAGCTTGTCATCGTAGAAATTCGTTTTGAAGAAGTTGATCTAAAGTTCTGTGCTCTAAGCTCCAATTTACCATATTTGTCAAAACATGTGTTAATCTATATTGTCATACAAGTGTATTTTAAGTTTTTTAGCTATGGGACCTGGAAAGCTAGTTTGTTTAATGATACTAGCATTTGGTCTTCTTGGTTTTCTATTCATAATAAGTGTTGTGTTAGCCCTTATTCCATTATATATTGCAAAGCACTCAGGAACCCCGCTAACAGGTAAACGTATCGGAAAAATATGATTTTATACATTTTGATAATTCCGTTTATTTCTTGCCCGTCGATGGACCAATCTGAGATGCTGACCATTTGCATTCATTCTTTTTATTCAGAAAAATTTAAGCGTGAAAATTCACGTCTTCAGTCATATACAGTCTCTAGACTGGAACAATACTCTGCCACTACTCTAGATGATTATTAGATCCATTTACATTGATTAACTGCGACATGATTCAAAATTGTGAGCTCAAACTATATAGGATCCCTTTTGCAAGCTCGATCTGCACGAAACTTCCCAAATACGATTCAAACATTATATCTGTACAGTGGTAGAAGCTTTAGAATTGATAAGATAGTAACAAGAGCTGTTTTTAGATTCATCTTTATTTAATTTAATTTCGAAACGTCGATTTTATTTTTATAAAAAAGATTTATTTAAAAGAAATTTTTAATTTTAGTATTTATCAAATAAAGATGAATCTAAAAACAGTTGCTGTTACTATCTTATCAAAATACGATTCAAGTTTTCGCTCTCTAGTACTCTATAAAAAAGATTCATAACTTACAAAACGAATCTGTTAATCTAAAAAATTATCTATTTTGACATCAGCTTCTAATTGAAAACGTCAGTATCGTTTTTAGAGATTTTTTTTATAGAGTATGAATGTATTTTTCGAATAAAAATATCTTCTTGGTGTAAGTTATGATCTATGGAGAAATATTCTTCTTCCATACGTACGCAATAGAATGCAACGAGAAAGTCTAATCTTATTATTATCAAGTGAGTGACAACCGATGTGTGATCATACCTCTCACTACGAAAGAAAATATCGCAAATTACTGACGCAACGAAAGCACCAGTGATCGCTACCACACCCACACGAAAAATACAAAAGATGAAGCTCACTCACACAGTAAAAAACAAAAGAACCTTGGAGAATAATAACACTGTTGATAAAACTCAGAACAAAAATAGCATGAGTACCAATCAGAGATAGAGAGTTTAGAAATTAGGTGTGTACTGTGAATCCTTTATAAAATTTATGATAAAAACACAATGCTAGCATCACATTTTAGCATCTATTTAGCTGAGATACGGCAATTAGGTCAGGAAATTAACTCTTGCCCTCACCAGTTGATAATTTGTATATTTTAACGAAAGTGTTTCACCGTTTCACATACACACAGCTGTGAGCAAATATCAGCTCTTAGAAACTTGTAATTGTTATTATGAAAAAAATGGTTTACGAGCAAAAATTTTTGTCCACTTACTATCAGAAAAAATACTACGCATTGGTCAGCTTCTCAAATTTTCAGATTTCATTCACGATGTAACCGATCCTTCACATTTTATGTCTTCAGGCTCTGCAAGTAATTCACTCACTGACTGTCAAACATTAACAGCGAAATTCAACACAACCTGTTCAAGTGGACCAGTTACTAACATAAAAGCAACAACTGGCACAAATGTGACTTGTCTAGGGTTAACCGGCACATCGTGTCCTGGTAGTACCAGTTCTGGATCATGCGTGTTCCAGCACAAATTATGTGTTACGTGTTTTGTCAGTAATTCGACGGTCAAAATTCGAGTACAATCAAACGGACTGCCACTATTTTGCCCAAATATTCCAATGTTAGATACGTTCAGTGAACAGAACATTGATTTTGAGGTTAACTTTAATCCTGCTGTCAGCGTCAATTCACCAATCTTTAAACCACCGACACAGAGCGCACTCGACAGTATATTGTGCAATATTTCAAGTGAAATGGCTCCGCCATCATCCTCTGGTTACTTTTTATATTCCACACCAGCGTCTGGTGGTACTTTAGCTGGTATATCTGTGGATGGTGTTTCAATTTTCAATGTGAATAGTGCGAATAATCAAGATCCGTTTTACCCATCAACAGCCGGCCCTGAAAGCGTTGATCAGTGTCTAGCACACTGTAATCCAACTGGTGCTGTATACCATTATCATATTGCATCGGGATGTGCTCTTAATCCACCATCAGGCAATATTACATCATGTTCAGCAAATACTTCATGCAGTTCCAGTATAGCAGCATACAGTATAAGTACATTCACGAATTACAAACAACTGACAGTTATTGGTATAGCAAAAGATGGACATATTATTTACGGGCCGTACAACTCAGACGGAACAAAAGTAACTAAAGGTTTTGACATATGTAATGGAATGTTTTACGATAAAATTGGTAATTATGGGTACTTTGCGACACAAACATTTCCGTACATAACAGGATGTTTTGGACCTGGTAATTACCCCACCATCACTCCTAGTTGTACAACAAATCCGGCATCAGCTTATACAAGATCATATTACGCAAGACTATTCACAACTGGATGAGCAAAAACATAGGCATATGTAGTAAAATCATAAAAATTAGACACTAAGATTCAATTTATTGCTTGTAGGCTAACTCTTATACGTAGGGACTCGTATATTAAGAATTAGCAAGTCAGTTTGATGACCAACATTTTGTGCTAGCCACAATTGTCTGAACAGTATCTTTTCGACTTTTCTTATGCGTTAAACGACAGAGAAACACGAAAAAGTTCGGAATAATACACAAGAGTAATATTTCATCGTCTAAATATTTGACATATAGCTCTCTCTCCTAAATTCTGTTGTCAGGAATGGTGCTAGCAAAAGAATGAAGGGAAGAGTGCACGTCTAAAGATTCAACAAAAGTAGTATGAACTTCGAAAACGTTTTGCCGTACACATAAAGTGAGGTGGAAAAACTTCGAAGAGCGACCGAAATAGACCTGAGCGCAAGCGACAAATGTAAGTTTTGCGCCAAATCGCTCTAAGTAATTATTTACGTCAACTACGGCTATTGACATCACCAAGTAAAATCAAAGAGTAGGTGGTGTCAACTACTGCTATTGACAGGGTTTTACAGCGGTTTACAGAGGTTTTACATGACAACAATCACCGTAATTTGGGATAAATTTTCCATTTGTTTCTGTGAAGCAGTAACAAATGTGGTAGAGATTGGCCTACGGATTCTAAGTACATTGATGATTGTTTCTTAATTTCACTTTACAACTATACAGATTTGGAAGCTCATGAAAGGTTTTTTCAGAAAAAAAACAATGATTTGGTCACAATACATTTCGATAAACTAGCTCCACCAACACCCTTATCGATCTGATGATTCGCAGCAATGAGTATTCCGTGGATGAATCAGGTATGGATTCTACAATCTTAATTTCGTTCGTATCACAGTTACTTTCGCTAGGGAGATTAAGGAGATTCGTCAGAAAAGCATCGCTATTTTATGTGTACAGGAGAAGATTTATAATTGTCTGGTTCTTATGTTGTATTTTAGCTTTTTCATCGCGACTTTTACCATTTTTTCAAAAATTTCTTTTAAGCCACTTATTCTGTTTGTCTTTTGTTTAGCAAGATTTCTTTTTAGGTAATTTGCTGCACAAACAGAGTTACACTTGGCGCTCAAACTGTTAGTGTTATAAGTTAATTTTATAAAGTACGATAGAGAAGAGAAAATCACTTATTCATAAGTGGTTTACTTTACTGTTGCTAGGTTTTTTATATCTGTCTCTCCATCTTCCTCTTAATCTCGGTTTGCAGATTTTATTCCGAGTGACACACAAAATCTATTATAGGTGGAAAATTTGTACATTTTCTTTTTTCTTAATAACGAACTTTTATTTAAATAAAGGATGGGGGCGATTATTTGATGAAATCGGCCCCTGCTCTAATTCCATCGAAACGCACATGGTTAGATGCAGAATAAACAGGAGAACATTTCTAGCCACTCGACAGACCTTGGAGTTACTCTAAGAAAAAACTAGGTCGAATTTACTGTAACCAAAGTTTTACTCTTCTTTCTTCAACGGTGACGATCCTGTGCTCCACACTTGACCACTATCCACGACGATACATATATCATTCGATAG